TGCAGTCTGTGACCCAATGCCACGCGACAAGGGGAGGGTGGTCACCTTTTCCCCCTGCACTGCTCAGTTCCACACTGTGCCCCAGGGTGCAAAGAGGCGGGGCAGCAGCTCTCCCCAACCTTCCCTGTCCTGCGTCCTGTCCCTCCTGTCCCAGGACACTTGTGCTCCTGTGTCCCCTTCCTGTTTAAGGCTGGAGGAGCAAGATTCAGGATGAGCCTGGCCTCAGGTGGCTACTGACTCTGCCTCAGTTTCCCATCTGTGTGAAGGTTGGGGTTCCTCCACAAAGACCTCACCTCGGTGTAGATATGCACAGCACTGGGCCACCATGTCACAGCTGAGTTGACGGCAGAGCCTGGCATGACACCTGCCCATGACACAGGCTTGGCTGCTGCAGCAAGGGCTGGGGCAAGAGGCACTCAGGGGGCTAGAGCCTGCTGGGGTGACCAGAGGAGGGGCTACCTGAGCCAGACTCTGGGGTCCCTGTGAGTGGTCCTGAGCCGGATGGCCACCACTGAGTCACACCCAAGGGGCAGGGGCTGAGCAGTGGGGCAGTGTGGACAGGGATGGGTGGGTAGAACTTTCTGGGGCATGGACTGAGAAGGGTGGCAGGGGCAGCAGTGTCCTGCTGCCACTTACGGGAGGGCACATGTAGCTTGTAGGGCTTGCACAGCCTCACGAAGTCCTCCGCAAGTCCACACAGCCTAAACTTGCCTGGTATATAAAGTCACGATCACATCTGAATCCCAGCACTCTGGGGGGCTGGGCAACTGCACCAGGCCCTGCCTCAAAATTAAAAATACAAAGGGCTGGAGTGGAGCTAAGGGCCCGAGGCCTTGGATTTCATCCTGTGCTGCCCCAGACAAACACAACAGTCCCGCACAGGTGTGCAAAGCACCGTAAGCTCCAGCAGTGACAGCCACAGGCCATGCACAATGCCCCATCCTTGGTGGCCTGGTGGGGCAAGGGCAAGGCTGCAATGACACAGGACACTGTGGCAGGAGCAGGGGCTGGGACAAGGGTGGCCACCGACCCAAGCGTGAGATGTGGACATAGGATCCTGTGAGCAATGTGTGGTCACACTCATGAGCGTGCTGGGTGGCACAGCTGTGAGGGCAGAGAGCCATGGGGGGCCAGGGCTGGGGCGAGGGTGGGCAGGGGCCCCTCAGGGCCAGTGCTTCCTTTTGGGTGATGACCAGGGTCAGGCCAAGGCACTGCATGGCATCCCCGTGGACCAAGTGACACTGAGGAGTCAGCTTCAGAATGGTTTCCTTCACGTGGTCGACTCTGGCTCCAGTAAACCATCATTTGTACAAAAGCATCTCAAAGCCAGGCACAGCAGCGTACCCCAGTGACCCCAGGTGCTGGGGAGGCTGAGGCAGGAGGACCAAGGCTTTGAGGCCAGCCTGGAGACTTACTGAGACTGTCTCAGAATGTAAGAGGGGCTGGAGATGAACACTTGCCTAGCATATAGGAGGCCTTGAGCTTCACCCCCAGCACAGAGAAAAACCACAACCAAAAATAAGCCAGCCAAATTACACGCTGTCCTGGGTGTGCTGCCGTTTGCCAGGTGAGAGCTGGGACCTGGGAAGTCCCTTGCTGGAGCCCTTGGCCGCTGAAGACTGGGTGCCCCGCTGTCCCAGCCACATGCAGCCACAGCCAGGCAGAGCACCGGAGGTCAGGGCACGGCTGCGGACAGCGAGCACAGTGGAAAAGTACCTCAGCCAGACATGGGGACACTTGCAGCTTCAAGGGACAGGCTGCAGCCACCAACCTTGGGTGGCTGGCCAGGGGTGACCGCTCTCTGTAACTCATTCTGCCAGGGTGTGTTTACATTGCCTGGGCTCCTTTAGCTGCTTAAGTGTTTATTTGGTTTTTAAAAACCCACAAAAAACAACAGGGCCACCCTCCCTGCGGCCACCATGTCGGGAGAAGCGGGCCACAAAGGGCGGCTGAGGTCGGAGGCAGCGCCATCCACACAGCCTGCACTCTGTGCTCCGGGGTCCCAGCCCTTCTGACCCGCGCCGCACCCGGGGACTGGGTGGCCTACAGTGAGGAAACCGAGGCAGGGAATGCAGGGTGTTGCCTCTGATCCCATGGCGTGGGCGTAGTGCTGGGTCCCGAGGCCCCCTTGGTGGCCCTGTCCCCGAGTCCAGCCCACCAGTGCCTCCAGGGTTGGACGCTTTGCTTGTTCACGCTGAGGTGTGAGTGGCTGAGGGGCTCAAGAGGAAACCCCGCTCCCATCGGGCACCCCCAAAGCAGAGGAGGAGGGCGGGAAGATCTTGGGCCCCACGGGCCAAGGACGCATGTGGCTGCGTGGTTTCCCCTCATGGCCATCGAGCTGTGCGCGGTGCAGGAGCCACCTGGTTCCTGGTGATGCCCGAGGGTTGGACCCGGAGCTTTGCAGTGAGGGCGGATGACAGCGCCACCTATCGGTGGCTGCAGGGAGCTCTCGGCCCAACGGGCCTCAGGCCGTGTACACACAGCAGAGAGCTCTGGGAGGCCACTTGGGGTCCCTCTGCCTTGTCCTTGGAACCGGTTGGGGATGAGTTCAGGCCCAGCCGAGAGGCCGGAGGCTCGCAACTCTGCAGCATCCCGGGGTCTTGATGGTCACTGTGGCCCGCTTGCCCCGCCCTGCCCGGCTGGTCCTCCGCGTGTCCAGCCGAGGGCCTGGCCTGCGCACACGGGGGCAGCAGGAGGCACAGTGCAGGTCTGGAGACTGCGTGCACGTCGGCTGTGGCCGCACACAGCAGGGCCCTCAGCACCTGTGGACCACGTGGGGTACTAGGTGCCAGGGTCGCAGGGCGTGAGCATCCGCGGTGTCCCGGCGCCCTCTGGTGGGCAGTGCGCAACACTGCAGTGCTAACCCCTTCCGCAGGATTCACTGGAGATCTGCGGGGATCCTGGGTGAGCGTGCCTCCGCGTGCGTAGGTGGGCAGGGTGGTCCCTGTCCCCACCTCATCCTGTGGCTCGTGTCTATAACGTCAGGTGTAACAAGTGTTGCCTGCTGCACTCCCAAGTGACCACTTTGGTGAGATGGTGATGGTGGTCAGGACAACAAGCTGTGCTGTGTAAGACGCGCGGCGCTGGGGGACGTGGCCAGCCACGGATCCTGCATCCCGGCCCGTGAAGTGCCTCCCTGGTCTGGGGGGCACAGCATGGCTGTGGGCAGGGCATTGGGGCGGCCCTGGGGAGGAGGGCAGGCCTGCAGTTTCCACTCTCAACCCCACTGGGTCACCACAGTTGGTTCCGGAAGATTCGGAACCTGGAGCATCTTCTGCGGAGAAGCTTCTCCCTCCCCCGTGGCCCTGCCCACCAGAGGCCACACTCTCCCCGGGAAACCGAGAAAGCTGCAGTGAGGCCAGGGCGCCCCCGCATCCTCCAGGAGGGCCGGCAGCTCTGTGGACCAGTGCCCCAGCCTGTGGGCCAGCGTGGGCGCCGGCATGCAGACGTTTTCAGAAAACAGTGCCCCACAAGGAGAGGCTGGGCCTGGGCTGCCCTGATCAGGCTGGAGAGTGGAGAGGAGGCAGTGGTGTCGGGCTACAGGACAGACGGCAAAAGCTTCTGGGCCGGTGGGCACATCGGGAACCGAGGGGCCGGGCCCTGTGGTGACTACACCAGGCCAGTTCATCACCAGGAACCTGGTGGAACTGGGAGGCCCTGGGACATGGGGTGGTGCTCGGGGGTGGCTGAGCCAGCCTTGCAGGGCACGGGCAGAAAGGGCACAGCAGCCCTAGGCACACACCAGGCAAAGTCGCCTCTGGCAGGGCAAGCTCGGACACAGTGTCACAGGCCCTCACACACGAGGGCCCCGGGGACAAGCAGAGCATGCCCCCTGCCCTCCACCCACAAGTGCCTGCCTTCCAGGGAGCCACAGTATCACGGCAGTCCCAGTCTTTGGCCTGCTGCACTGGCTCTGGGTCCCCAGGATGTGTATCCCACTCTTCCCTTTTCTCTCACCAGCGAGGCCACAGGTGCTGTGTGGGCGGTGAGCCAGTGACACGACACGGGCACATCCTGCAGTGCCCTGCAGGATGTGCCGCACCTGGGCCGTGTGTCCTTCCTGTCCCAATGGACGCCACGCCATCAAGCTCACACCTCCTGGGCCACTGTGCCAGGTGCCCAGGGTGAGAGCCACAGGGAGAGGCCATGCTAGGTCCCTCCCAGCCCAAACAATGGGGTTTACTGACTAAATCCAGCGTTGCAGGCACGAGAAGCTCTGCCCTGTACTAGAACTGACTCTAGGATGGGCGAGGAGCAGGTTAGGGGGACAGAAAGGCCTTGCTGAGGAACGTGTGGGACGCGCATGGCCAGGGCGACCTTCCGGGGCTCAGAGGTCGCAGGTGTCAGAAAGCAAGAGCGCAAGGGTGGCGGCCCAGGCCCAGTGGGTAAACTGAGGCCACCCACTCCCAACCAGAAGCAGCACACACCCAAAAATGGTCTGAGGACGGCCGCTGGGCTACTTTATTTCATATAAAAGTTACACAGAAGGAGAGGCTGGAGAGTCAAGCACACGCGATCTGCACGGGCTCACCAAGTCTCACAGGACGCGCCACTTGGGTCGTTATGCGATTGATGAACAGGATCTACACGCAACAGCCTCGCCCAAAGCCCGGCACATGCGTCCACCCCAGACACAGATGTGCAAATGACGCGGAGCAGCCCCAGTGCCTGGGCGGGCCTCCCGCGATGCCCTGAAGGGCTGGCAGAGCCGCTGCTGCCACCCACTCAACAGTGCCAGGCAGGCACCAGGCAGGAGATGCCTCCTGGAAGCCCCACTGCCCAGCCCCAACCCCGGGCAGCAGAGGTGCGGCCCAGGCAGTTTAAGGCAAGGCCCCAGGAGGGGCTGTTTGCTTTCTGATGTAATTTTAAGCTCAGACCAAGGGTCCGATCTGATCACCTGTGCTGTGGGTAGAGAAACATAAAAACAAAAGCCACCCCTCCAGGGCCACCCTCCCACTGGCTGAGCCCACCCCTGCCTGGGGTCCAGGCTGCCTGCCACCCCCTCCCTGTACTGTGCGGCCGGCTCTCCTCACACCAGGACTGGGCAGACACTGCCAGCTCGGCTGGGACCACAGGCCGGCTCCGGGCTCCTGCCGGGAAATCCATGGGCGGGCGTCTCAGGGCCGCACAGGGTGGCTGTTCTTTGGATCAAGACACTGTCCAGCTGGGAATACATTCATAGACAGCGCGGGGGACCCGCACAGCTTGCCCCTCTTCCCTGAAACGTCGGCTTCTGAAAAATAGCTTGATTGCTGTACACAGCTGCTAAATACCACACTGTGGAAACAACACTGCCGATTGGACACACAGGCACACACCGCACACGTGCACAGACACACAGACGGGCGCACAGACGGGCTGGGAGGGGCGCTGTCGGCCGGGCCCGGAGTGTTCTGGAAACTGCCTTCGCCCTCAGCGCGCCGGCTGTCTGCACCTTCGGTGCGCAGGGCCTGGGCTCAGAGGCTGAGGTCTCCGTGGAGACGCCCCTCTGCTCAGGGAGTGTGCTGGTGTCACCGGGCCAGCAGGCTTCCCTGCAGGGCCAGCAGGCATGCAGCCGGAGCTGCTCCTCACCCGGCCCCGGCATGCAGGAAGGCTCTCGCCGGCTTCCTCTCGGGCCAACGTGGCCACACCCATCTGCTGGCCACTGCAACCTGTGCCCACCTGCCCTCCTGGTCATGGGGCTGGCAGAGCCAAACTGGCCGGGTCCACAGGCAAGTCACAGCCCACAAGGAGGCTCACACCGAGAACTCAGAGCCGCCTTTCTTGGGCCAGGCTTGCAGTCGCCTGAACCGGAAGCCAACAAAGGGGTTCATCCATAGGAGTGAGGGAGGGCCCCCAAAGACGGATTTCATCCCTTCCCACCGAAGCCTCCGCTCCCACGTGGGCTTCTCGCTTTTCAGTCTCTCGATTTCCTAGAAGCAAAAAGAGTGTGGGTGGCAGGTGGCTCTGACTGTGACAGAAGCAGGTCATGGGGGTAAACAGAACATGCCTGACCTCGGAGGCCCCTCTTGTTCTGGGCTGGGTATGAGGCAAAGGGGACAAAGTGGGCACAGTGGGCTCTCCCTCCTGCCTCTGGCAGCCCTGCCCTCCCCTTGTGGCACCCCAGACCTGTAGGAGCCCAGGTGGTGCCCACCCTTCTCACCCACTCATAGTTCCCAGTGCCTTCCCCAGGCTGCAGTGCCAGGACAAAAAGGCAGCCACAGGGGGCGAGACTTGCTGGCCAGGCCTCTCAAGAGGCCCGGATGACGCGATAAAAGCCCGCCCGCCCACCTACCCGCACGGATCCTACCGTTTCATCGTTGCATATTGAGTGGATCTGGGTGCCAAACATCACTGCAGTGAATGTGAAAAACAGCAGACCCTCAAGGCACAGGAAGACCAACAGGATTACGGTTATCGGAGGGGAGAAGTCACTGCACTCTGTGAGGGTGAGACGGGTGTGACTGCCTGGCACAGCCCTCCCACGTGCACCTGTGCCCTGCAGCGTCCTGGCCAGCGGCCTAGGAGGGCCTGTGCTCCCCGAGGCTCCCGTGGGACTCCCTCCCTTGCTCCCCCACCTGCTCCCCCACTGCCAACGCAAGGGCAGCTGGGAACATGGGTCTGGAAAGCACACCAGGGTTGGGAGGGACAACACTCACTCTCCTCTATTTCACAAATGTGCAAAACACAACTAAAATTATTTAGTTGAAACTGACCACTAAGGAAGAAGAATCTTATGGCCTTAGTACAAAAGGAAAACTTAGTCATGTTCTTTTCTTTAAAAAATTCAATGCCTAAAACAAGGATTTTCTTCAAAACTGGGGAAGGTGACTTCCTTGGGGACACCCAGGGGCTCAGCTCACCGGTCCACTGTCCCCGCACACAGGAGATGAACTGCAGGCCGCAGAGGACGAGCGCGTGCACTGAGGCCAGGGCTATGTACATCTGGAGGGGAGACGGTGCTGATGCCAACGCTGATGCCAACGCAGCCACCAGTGCCCCGCCATCTACCGTCAGGCAAACAAGGGGCCCGAGAGGGTGGCCCGGGTGGCCTCTGCCTACCCGAGACATCAGGCTGAGCGACACACGGTGCGGAATGGGTTCTAACACACGTCCGAGTAGGGTGCCGCCACAATACTGATTCAGTACGCTCCTGTCACCTTAACCACCAGCGGGACTACTGGCCTGGCAACCCCACGGGCCTCTATACTGACATTAATAAAAAGCTGCCGATGGGAGGACATCATGCATGTACACGGCGGCCCAGGCCACCCGGCAGCAAGGTATGTGAAGCACAGCACCGTCTTGAGCCGGTCAAGACGCTGGAGGAAAGTGACATCACAGCTGACCCCTAAACTTTTTTTCTTTTCTATGTATTTAGTTCAGGGCCTACAGGGTCTCACTACACAGATCGAACTTGTAGTGATTCTGCTTTCAGCCTCCCAAGCGCTGGGATTACAGATGCGCACCACCACGCCCAGTCTCAACTGCTACCTCAGCGCATCCCGGGGGCAGGGCCCGCATGGCACGCGGGGGATCGAGTCCTGGTCCCTGAGCCTACCTAGGCAGGTGCTTTAGTCCGCTGAGCTATCTCGTCAGCCCTTCGGCCCCTAAACTAACAGCCACATCCATTTATCCGTGGAACAGCTTCCTGCGACCCGAGCTCGGCGCTGCCATGGGAAATCTGGGGAAAAGGCTGGCGGAAGCCAGTCTGATGTCTCCTTGCCCAGGATAAGACTCTGGTTAAAGCATTTCCCAACCACTGCGCTCACGACAGAAGTATTTTTACTTACGGTGAAGAGCACGAAGAATCTCTGGTTCTTTTCTCCTACGCAGTTATTCACCCACGGGCAGTGGTGATCCATTTTCCGGATGCATCTTTTGCAGATACTGAAAAGGACAGCCTCACTGTCAGTGCTCCGTGCTGCGAGGAAACCAGAGGGATCCCAGCGAGCAAAACCAAGGGCGCGAGACAGCGGGCTGAGGCAGCACGCCCCAACACTCAGCGGGCGACCGCCCGCCTGCAGGTGCATCGCTCAGATTGATTTCTGAAGGCCTGCTGCTCCCAAGGAAAGAACACCAGGACCCACAGGCCCGAGCCCACGCCCCACTGAGCGCGCACCCTGGGGCCAGCCCAGGCTCACCCGACAGCCCGCTCTCCATCGTGCGAGCTCGCAGGGGATCTCTCTCCGTGGAGGACAAGAATGATTTCACACTTGGGGAAGCCCAAAAGCTTGCTGCCTGCCAGGACCTGGGCCAGCAGCCACACGGCCCAGACACAGGGCTGCTGTTCTGCCTGCGGGACTGCGCTTGCCCCAACACGAGTCATGTTTCAGAAACAGTGTGGCCATTCAGTGGTGGTGAGCTGCACATCAGCTGGGAAGAGACAACAGCTGGCACTCCTGGGGACCTTCCACGACAAGGTCACTTCCTGCGTCCAGGTTCTCTCTCAGCCCAACCTCTGCTGCCCCTCCAATCCAGTAACTGCTCCCACTGCAGGCAGGCCTGAGGTGTCGCCTGCATACCATGGCAGCCCGCTTATCTCAGGCGTGGAGCTGGTTGGTGGCCGACTGTCCCGCAGCACTGAGACTGCAGTCCAGGGAGACCACAGCATCTGCTTGCTCCCTGCCTAGCTGCAGGAGGCGAATCTTTCAAATGCTCACTGCGGCTCTAAGGAGCTAAAGCCCTCAAAGCTCCTCCCACGGACTCTGCCGTGGACACAGCCAGCTCATACCCATGTGTTCCCTGGGTAGACACTGGCCCATGTGGCCAGGCCACGGGGTTGGTAGAGAGATGCTCTCAGGGTACCGGCTTTGGCACTGGAAGCCCTCTGCCACAGCCAGGAGCCAGCAGGAGCTGGGGGAGCCAGGGCGCGCTGCCTGCACTGCGTTTCCATTCCCTTCCTAAAACCTTGGTGTTTGTGAGCACACCCGGGAGAACGGAGCTCCTACCCTCAGCACCACACCAGAACACACAAGACCCTTCTGCTGGAAGCCAGGCACGGTGGCACATGCCTGTGTCCCCAGCATGCTGCGAGGCTGAGGCAGGAGACTTTGAAGACTGTCCCACCTGGGCAACTTGATGAGAGTTTGTCTTAAAATTGAAAACATAAAAGCCAGGTGTGGCGGCGTGTGCCTCTAATCCCAGCATGCAGGAGGCTGAGGCAGGAGGACTGCTGTGAGTTTGAGGCCAGCCTGGACTATGCATTGGGCGCAAGGTCAGCCTAAACTACAAAGGGAGACCCTGTCTCAAAAAACCCCAACCTTTAAAAAGGGCTGAGGATGTACATCAGACTCAGCCCCCAGTACCATAACAGAGGGGGTGTGGGGGCGGCAGGGGTGCAGCTGAGTAGGAGAAGGCTCACAGGCTCGCTCGGGGGCCCTGGACGCCGCCTGTACCTGCAGTGGTGGGCGCGCTCGGGCTTGATGCAGCAGCACTTGGGGCACTTGTAGATGACCTCACCCGGCTTCAACTGCAGGCCCTCCATGTACTCCTTCGTGGCGTTCCCTTTGGGCACCGCCCCCTGCACCGGGCACATTCCCGTGGGGAGGGAGGGAAGAAAAAGCATTCGTTTCTGAATTCAGCTGCAATTCCATGCTTCACCCAACAGTCACACTGTCGCTGTCACAAGAGCACATTACATACACACAGTAACCGACACGCAGGGCCAGCTTCATCTTCGCAGAGTACCACCACCACTACGGATGGCAGATACATGGAACCTTCTCTAGCCTCACGTGGGGCAGAGCTGGCCGAGCTTGTCTATGGGAAGGCCTGCCCTGGGGTTTCCTGTCCTGCAGCAAATAAGGAATTAGGCGGCCTCTGGATGATAAGCCTGGAGGCGGCCGAGGGGGCAGTCGGGGGCACAGGGACCCTGCCTGTGAGCTCCTCACGGCTGGCAGAACCCTAGATCTGAGATTCTGCGGGGCTTGCCGTGGGACCCAGGAAAGCTCCTAAGCTCCAGAGCTGGGGCAGGCAAGACCAGGGCAGGCAAGACCAGGGCAGGCCTTGCCATCTCTCTGTCTGCCCGGCTACCTGTGCTGTGCTGCAGGGCTGCCCGTCTCCTCGGGTCTGGAAGTGAAGGGCTTCACCCAGCGGCCCGAGCCAGACTCCGCGCTCCGGGCAACAAGGCTGGAACACGCCCACTTGCATCTCTCCACATCCTTCCCACCACCCACCCTTCGCCAGGCCCCGGGCGCGGCTGTGCCTCCACTCTCCCTGCAGACGGCAGGACCCCACAGCGTCCTGTTACAGGAAGAAGGCAGCTGGACACTGAGGCGTTGTCCCTGGACAGTGAGACAATGGTGGAGGGGCAGGAGCCAAGCAAGGGGCCCGAGGGCGGCTGCTTCTGTGATGAGAGCTGCAGCCCCACTCCGCAGCCCAGAGCCCCAAGACCTTCACAGGCAGCCGCCCTCGCGGCCGCCACATCCCCACCAGGCCTGGGATGTCTGCTCTGCTCCTCCGAAGCCTCGGGCCCCTCTTCCTCCCCCACTCCACATGCCCATGAGGACCTGGCCTGAGCCTCTCCCGCTAGTACTGCCCGTCCTGCCCCTCAGGGGTCAGCCTCAGCCACCGGCCCTCCGCAGATGGTGTCTGAGGCATGTAGGAAGTGACGCAGCGAGGGACTCGGCCTCTCTCTTCACCCAAGTACTGGCCTGGGCTTGGTCACGCCCAAGGCCTGGTCTGTGGCTGCCATTCCTCACAGGCCTGTCCCTCTGTCACCTTCCTAGCAGCTTCCCAGCCCCTTTCAGAGCTCCGCCCCTGGGCTCCCCGGTCTGACTCACACAACTCCCAGTGGCTTCTGTCAGTTGCCACCAGAGCCAAACACATGGCGTGGCTGAAACAGTGACATTCTATCAGGCAAAGGATGCAGCTGCTTCTGAGAAGAGGACTGCAAGGGCAGGAAGGCAGCATCGGTCCTCGGGAAACGGGGACTGCCAGGCTCATGGTAGGCGTGTCACCCGGGGCCCGGAAGGCTGAGGCGGGAGGGTTCCCATAAACCCAAGGCCAGCCTGGGCTACACAGTGCGTTCAGGACCAAGCTGATCTGCGTAATGAGATGTTTTATCAATCGCCTCCTCCAAGAAGTCCAAATCAAGACCACAATGAGAGCCAGGCGTGGTGGCACACACCATATCCCAGCTCTTCTGAAGGCCGAGACAGCGAGATCTCAAGTTTCAGCCCAGCCTAGCAGCTTAGCACGACCCTGTCTCACGATGAACCACACAAAGGGCTGGGCTGGATGCCAGCGCAGTGTGCCGGCTCTCTTCCTTGGCACCTCAGAGAACGAAAGCGCACCATAAGCGCTCACTCAGCAAGAGTCTAACAAGCGCCAGTGGGGTTGCTGCTCAAAGGACAGCTTGGCAGTGAGCACTGAGCTCCCGGTGCCACACCGCAGCAGCCACACTGGTGCCTGCACTCCAAGGTGCACAAGCACCCTGTCCGCCACCAGAGGAAACCCCCCGCCCACCGTAAACTGATGCAGCTCCGACCCCACACTGTGGAACAGCACACAGCCAGGAAAAGGAACGAGGCTCTGACCCATGCTGTGCCCCAAACAGGATGCCACAGGCCGAAGTCCAGGACCATGTGCCATGTGCAGAGGGACTCACGCGGATGGCCCTGAACACAATTCCACAGAGCCTGGGGCACGGGAGGGGGCGTGGTGGTGAGGTCGGGGGACCCTCCACGGGTGGTGGACATGCCTGTACCATTCAGAGGACTCTGGGCCCTGGGGACGCACAGTGGGGCCGGGCACGTCCCAGGGCTCTGGCTTCATGGAGCTGCTACAGCCAAGACCACTGAGGACACAAGCAGCCCAGGCCCCTCAGCTCGGGGATTTACACTGAAAGGCACCTCAGCACTTAATCCAGGAGACTGAGGCAGGGGAGTCCAGCCTGAGCAACACTCAAGACCCTGTCTGGAAAACGGAAGGCTCCCCACAGTGTATGCTGGACACGGCCAGGGCCACATCTACCACGGCTGCATGTACTCTGGACAGTGGGCTGGTGCCACCCGCAGCAGGCAGGCTCCACGCAGCCCCACCCCCACCCCACGGGACTCACGGGGTCAGTGAGCATGGTCCTCAGGTGCGAGGAGAGCGCCAGCACCGCCAGGCAGTTGAAGACGACCCCGTTCACCACAGAGTACCAGAAGTCTTTGGAAGGCAGCAGCATGACGAATGTCACCACAAAGTCTGCGTAGACCACCAGGAGCCACGTCATGACGGCACAGACCATGCCACAGCTGTCTCGGATGAACCACACCCTGTCCACGGCATCGGCCTCGGAGGAGGAAGAAGAGGCAGAGTCATAGCTGTCGTTTTCAGCCAGGAGGGGATGGTGCTCGACATCTCGGAGCCGGTGTCCTGTGGGCTGCATGGTTCCCGGACACGCCCTGCAAAGAGACAGAGCTGCTGGGTCCTGGGGTCTCAGGAGCCCACCAGGAGCTGGGCTGGGTGCCCGAGCCTCTGTAAAGGTGACAGCCACGGCGTGCCCTGGCCATGTGACGGAGCCAGCTATGAGCACGGAGCAGAAGAAAACACGTGTCAGCAGTTAAGAGCTGTGTTTCTGAGGAGCCCCTAGTCCCCACACTGCCTCCTGGCGGCCCTGCACCATGATCGCAGCATGCTGGGCAGAGGTGACAGCCAGACAGCCGGCCCACCTGAGGATGAGACCAGCACCTGGAGAAGCACATCTCCCTACGGAGAGACGCTCGGTACCCTGAAAGGCTCCGTGTCTGCTTTGGAGAGGACGGTCTACGAGTGGACCTCAAGGTTTGTATCCAGCTTGTATCGGACACTATTATTGCTAGAACTTACTACGACAGCCGGGGAGACCAGCCTGGGGCTGTCAACCGCTTTTCTCGTTCAGCACCCTGCGTCAGTATCCAGACTGCCCGGGGCCATACTCAGTGTGTGGCCCACTTCTGAAGAACCAGGTACTGGGCCAGACAGGTTGCCACCTCTCCTCCCAAGCAAATGGAAGAAGCTGGAGCCTGGGACAGAGGCAAACGCCAAGGGCGCCACAGCCGAGGAGGCCTCAGCTGCCCACCGTGATCAGCAGCAAACCCAGCACAGGAGACCAAGAGCCCAAAGACGGAAACACGGGCATGCTAGACAACAAAAGCCGGCCCAGACTCGCAGCTCCCCAGAGCCGATGCAGCGAGCACCAAGGGGAGGCGATCAAAAGCTACGCAGCAGAAATGTCCGGAAGGAGCCCACCAGTGGGGCAACGGGACACGGACAGGGTGCCAGAGCGCAGAGAGGCAACCACGCGGACCACGAGCCCAGGGAAAGATCAGTGAACCTAGAGACGAGGTGAGTGAAAACCGAGTTCGCTGTCCAGAAAAGAATGCTAAGCCACAAAGAGCCTACAACACAAATCCAGAAAGCTAAAAAGAATGAATGCAGTCACAGGCAGCAGAGGCAACAAGTGCGAGGGCAGCGGCATGTGCACAGGCGGGGCTGTGGCCGGGCAGCGAGCGGCCTTCCCACAGGGGCGTGGGGAGCGGGTCCCAGAGCTGCCAGATGGCACGAGGAAGCCCAACCCGAGAGTAATCAGAGTGAGTGAAAATCGGGAGAAAACAAGGACCGCAGAAGAAACCTGTTTACGGAAGCAACAGAAAATTTTCCAGATGTGGGAAAAAATTAACGTATAAATAAGCACAGACACCCAGGTAGCCATGATCACAAAACACCACTCCTTAGCTCAGTGGGTTAAAGCACCTGCAAGCAAGCGCAGGGGCCAGGGGTTCAATCCCTGGGCCTGCCTTGCTGGAGCAATGGGTACTAGGCGTGGTGGTGCACGCCTGTGATCCCGGCTCTTGGGAGGCTGTAAACAGGTGGATCACTACGAGCCTGATCTAGTCGAGACCCCATACACCCTGTAGACCCTTCCCTAAAATACAAAAAAACCCAACAACCAGAAATCCAACCCAAGAACACACTCTCGAGAACTAAAGATGCAACAGTTCACTTGCAAAGGAAAACCCACTGGAATCGTAGGTTTCCCAACATAAACCTTGGAGGCAAAGGGCCTGGGATAAAGGTTCCAAGCCTTGGAAGGAAAGAACTTCTGCCCAAGGGCATCTACCCTGGGGAATTATTTTAAAGCTGATGGAGGGCTTGGTGGTCTATGCGCCTGCCTAGCCAGCGCAAGGACGCAGGTTCAATCCCAGGTACTGCATGCTGTACTGGACCCAGAACTCAGCACAGCGGTGCACTCCTATAACCTCAACGCTGGGGCGGCGCAGACAGGAGGAACGCTAGGAGTCTGCACTGTGTGAGAGACAAATAAAGCTGATGAAGAAGTACGGAATTTCCATGATAAAGGGCACTTAAGAAAATGCATGGTCACAAAAGCAGCACTCCAAAACTTCTCAAGGACACCTAAAAGGGGGTGGACACCTAAAAGGGGGTGGACACCAAGAAGACCAACTCAGTGAGTGATCTGGGCAGGGCCAGCAGTTAAGTAGAAGGAAAACAACACAACGGCAGGAAGATGTCAGCACCCGCAGTCGCCACTGTCAGTGTAAACAGTCTCAATCCCCCAATCGAAAGACACAGATTAGTGGAAGGATGACGACACCAGCCCCGTGCTTGCCGGATAAGCCAACATACTGAACCGAAAAGCAAATTCACAGACTAAAATCAAAGGACGGAAAACAATATTCCATGCAACAGGAGCCTGAAAACAAGCAGGGTCAGCTATTCTATTTTCAGACAAAACACACTTTAAGCCCCAGCTGATCGAAAGGAGCAGAGGAGGACACTGCAAAGTGAAGAACGGAACCAGGCAACAGGAAGAGACTCCCACCTGTGCCCAACTTCATGAACCAAACACTAACGGGCGCAAGGGCCAGGCAAGGTAAACATCAACAAAGCTACAATGCGGGACCTCCTTTTTCTTGGTACCGGGGATCGAACTCAGGACCTTGCATTGGCTAGCAGGCACTTACACTGCTGAGCTATGTCCCCAGCTGGGAATCTTAATAGAGATCAATAAACAAACAAACAAACAAACAAACAAACAAATCAAATGCCAGAGTTGAAGCGAACCTTTGAACAAATGGACCGGACACATAGTCACAGAGTTCCAGCCACCACGGGACGTGTATTCTCTTAAGCAACACAGCACTTTCCCACACGCGTGCTAATTACAGCACGTATAAATAAACACAGAGCAATCAAAATTCTGCCATGCACATGAGCCAATCACAGTGCAATGAAGCTAAAAACCCGTGGCAAAAGCCACAGAAATTAGGCACATTAATCCACACATTCCTGGGTAATTAATGGGTCGCAGAAGAAATAAGACACTTCTAGAAGTAAATGCGAATGCCAATACAACATACCGGAATTTATGGACTACAATGAAAGCAGTCCTGTAACAAAGGCTTACAGCTATCAATGTCCACGTCAAGAAAGCCAGAACAAGCCCAAATAAATAATTTAATATTATACGTCAAGACCCTAGAAAAACAAGAACTCATATTCAGAGCTTGTATAAGGAAGGAAATTATGAAGATCAGAGCAGAAATTGCTAAAATGGAGACTACAAAAAGTTAACAAAGAATCAATGAATCGATGACTGGTTCTCTGAAAGAACAGACAAAACAGACACACCCTTAGTTACACTTATCAAAAGCAAAGCAAAGATGCAAGTCAATGTAATTAGTCATGAAAAAGATGCAATCACGTGGACACCACCAAAACCCAGATGACCTGCAGCTACTTCACAAACCTGTATTAGTGAATTTGAAAACTCACAAGAAATGGAAATATAGGGGCTGGGAGACAGCTCAGTAGAATAAGCGCTTGCCTGGCAAGCACAAGGGACTGAGTGCAATCCCTGGTTCCGCAAAAGAAAAAAAAAAAGAAAGAAAGAAAGAAAAAAAAAATATATATATATATTACACACACACATACATACGTGCAGAGAATAAAAAATAATATGAATTATGAAAAACTGAACAAAGAAGACTTACAAATCCTGGCTAATCCCAGAGCAGGCAATGAGATGGAAGTAGCAATAAACTTACCAAGTAAGAAAAGCCCAGGACTTGGTGGGCTCCCTGCCATATTCTACAAGAACTTCAGGCAAGAAATAGCACCAATATT